TGGGAGACAGTTGTCACCAATAATAGCAGGGTCATCATTTTTTTGGCTACTTTTACACTTGTGTGATGCATTGTGGAACTCAGTGCAGTGAGTTGGTGTGACATTTATTTAAAAAAGCATCCAAACACACGGTGCATTAGTTCTCAACCGAGCAGTACTGCGGCACATCACAAGGCACAAGGTGATCCCTATAATTAGGCAGCCTGAGAGCTCTTAGCAACCTGTGACACTCTGTCCGGTTTCCTGCCCGGCCCACTCACGCCACCAGATGCCAGGAGCTGAGCAGGACACTCTGGCTGGCATCCTGTTGACATCAGTGAGCTCGGCGGGATATTAGACAAAGCCACTGACAGCACGGTTTCCCACCACGGGGATAGGAAAGCAACCCTATACCAATGACCATTCACTGATAGCATCCTTCCCCTTGGATGGCCAATTGGCCATTCACTGATAGCACAACACCCCCCCCCGCCTCAGGCGACGAATAATGTAGGGCCCTGTGCAGCACTGACAATGCACATACAGCATGCTAAAACTAAAAGGATACAGGTCCAGTTTTTGTTCAGTTTCTGTGTGTTGACAGTCCATTTTAAATGATTGCACTGACTAAAGCATGTTAACGAGCGACATACTGTACATTACCACACGTAGAAAAGCACAACAGTGGAACAGCAAAGTATGAAGGGGACCTAAATGGAAGATGCTGATTAAAACCTATGAAGTGTGAGCACTGGTCTAAGAAGGGTTCCATTGTGAGACCACGACTGAGGACGGATCTCCAGGACTCACAAAACTGACGTTAGGCAGACACCAGAAGAGGACCAGCAACGTAAGACCAAATGAAAGCAGGACTTGGAGGGCAACACTGGAGCGGGAGCGAGAGAGTGAATAGTACAGCTTTTTTACATTTGGCAAAAGATAAAAAGTATGGATGGAATTCTGCTATAAAATTCTATCTTCAGCCTGTCACTAACCCTTGAAGGGAAACAATACTGGAGACCGGTATTGGTCCCAGGCGGTAAACCGAGGCAGTATTTTGGCAGCTCTGTGTTTGGAGCTGCAGACATTGCTGTCAGTGAAAACACATGTACATCAGTTTCCTTCCAGCTATGTACAGCGCACACCTACGCACTGTGAAGCTTCTGACATTTCCTTTAACCCCTCCTGCGCTGATGTTTCTGTCACAGCAAACAGAGACCTTCACATCTCCTTCTAAAATACTGAGCATTAGCCATGACTTTGGGTGACCGGCTCTTCATTACAGTAACCACTAACAGTACTGAATTTGAAGGTCGATATCTGCTGACGGCCCGCCGTTATTTATTAGTTGATGGGGATCAAAATATACTGATAATTTCAGGAGATGAGATAAAACTGAACACATCTGTTAGGTTAGTCATAGATGAACAGATGTCTCACCGAAAACGTTGACTGCTGAAACAAATTCCTGTCCTCTGATCCATCACCAGGCTGTAAGGACCTGGATCTTCTCCCTGACTGAAGCTGGCCATACACTGCTTGCAACCAATTGCAATTTAATGATTTAATAGTTGCAAATGAATTATATTAACGCAACTACTTATCAAACCCAAATTTACACTAAAAAATACACTTAAAATAGAACTATGCGGTAAGTGTTTTTCCCAATAGTTCTATTAAGGGTCACGGGAAGACATATACTAGCGTCCTCCTGTGACCCAAAGCTCAGTATATCACGAGCTACAGCTCACAGTATACTGAGACCGCCGCAGCCGGGACGGATCCTGACAACACTGTCGAGATCCATCCAGTTGCGTGAATGACAGCCGACTCTGCCTATCTAGAGGTCAGCGCTGGAGGATCGGAGCGGGGAGGGGGAAACCCTGCGGGGGGTGATGACTGACAGTCACCACTCTCTGCAGGGAGATGATCGAAAAGTGAGCGAGCGACGGTATGTGTTCGCTCACTTCCCGATCTATTGAACCGATGTGTATCTGATGCATTGTTACACGTCGGCTCAAACTATGAGGTTGAGTGATTTTCACTCACCTCATAGTTCTCCTTTAAGTTAATTTTCATGCACATAGATAAATAGATATTCAACATGTCAAGATTGAAAAATGCATGCGCCTGTGAAATGGCGAAAAATTACGATAACCAAAATTGTCTATTGTTGACACTGAAATTGTTGACATTTCATCGGTTTAGGCTTAATCATAAATATTGGCCCTAGAATTATTGCTCTCACTCCACCGCGTCCGGCGATACCTAACATGTGTGGGACAATCATTGTTTCATACATAGGTGCACCAGACACATATTTGTGTTAGTATGTGCGTGTCTGCGGAGGCAGGGGACTTTAAAAAATGTTTTGGGGTGTTTAACATTAATTTTATTTAACTTTTATCACAAGCCAACCATGTGATCGCACTTTAGCGGTGACAGGTTCTATTTAAGAAGACATTAGTCTAATGCAGGGGTTGGGCAACTCTGCTCCCTCCAGCTGTTGTAGAACTACAAGTCCCATGAGGCATTGCAAAACTGACAGTTACAGGCATGACTCCCAGAGGCAGAAGCATGTTGGGATGCATGTTGGGATTTGTAGTTAAAGTACAGCTAGGGGACCAGAGTTGTCTGCCCCTGGTCTGATGTCACCTTTGCAGCCCATTTAAGCTGATTAGGCAAGATCATGCTTAATCAGCTTCTTCTCCGGCCTCTGTGACCAGGGAATGACAGCTCAGAAAGCGGAATTGACAAAATCATTGTCGCTTCCAGGTTCACACAGCGAGTGTATGTTCACTGCTCTCCCTCCCCTTTTTCAGCCACCGCCCACTATGCAGATTCTGGGCTCCCAGGATTGGCAATGGAGCCTGGTGGAGTGGTTGGGAGGGGAGTTGTGCACACTTGACCACCCACGGAAGTGATCAGGCTACAAATATGTAAGCTGCCCCTCCAGGGCCGTCACCCTTATTTTTTAAAGCATGCAGCCATTAAAGCCTCCTAACAACTGATATGCACATGCTTGTTCCAGGTCCTTGATTGAGAAAGCAGTGCAGGACAGATAAAGATAACAGCCATGGAGCATGCGTCTTCAAAAAATCAAGGAAACAATGGCTACTGTGGTAGTTCAGTAATGGTCCCTTTTTTATTATATTAGGCACTTGAGTTCAGCGTTCGGGGCTAATTGTCTTTCAATCTACTAAAGCAAAATAATATCCAGATGGCATATTTTTCAATTCTCCACACTGATGAATAATGGCCCGTGTATGGAGAAGGAGATGTAAGCTGCACGTTTGCATGATTTGCTCACTTCCACTTCAGCGGTTTCGGATAAAGCCGATTAAGAACTCTGAATGAGGTTATAATTAGATGTCGTATCACATTCCCGGAATCACCCCGGGCTTTACCAGACAAGACTGTTTGTTCGGTACCATGATTTTCTAGAGTTATCAACCGCCTGGATTGCAGCAGACTTCTCTTTTCAGGTCTGCATGAATACATTCCTGAGGTGTCACCACATACGGCAACAGTTTAATTTCTCTAAAAAGTCGGCCCGTACAGATCTGTGCGGCGTGCACGGCTGTATCGGGCCACTCCTGGGAAGGGCAGGTGCTGCGTGTGATTACACGCAGCAGCCTGTTCTTCTCTATGGGAGTACGCGGCCGTACACCGCCCTACGCTCACCCGAACTGCGTGTCCCTGCTTGGACGCAGACAGGATGCACGAGTACGGCCACCCGCACGGACGTGCAGTGATTAAGTGATTGTTTTTCTCTAGGGGACGTAACAAAGCAGATATAATCACCTGATCCGCGGCACTCACCGTTCCCCCCCTCTGCTCCAGCTGTTAAACATCCTTCGGTGTCCCCACATGCAATGCAAGTCAATAGACCTGCATTAGACATTGTGACGTCAGTGGCCCTTAGATCATCAGGGCCTGGGGGAGAAGAGGCTGTGTGGACCGCTCTGGCAGCTCAACGGGATCGAGGACCAGGTGAGTATATCTGCTTTATTCTATCCCCTAGAGAAAAATGAGCACTGCAGTGCTGGGATAGCCTCACTGCAAGAAAAAGTTTGTAAAATGCCTGGATTTCTTCTTTAAGAAAGCTGTCCTTGCACTCCAGTTGAGAGACTTTGCCTAGGCTGAGATGATGTCATCAGCTGCACCCAGGCGGAAGCATTTCCTCGGTCTCCTCTCACCCAGTGATCAGACTGCAACATTGTAACTTTGTAGCAAGTCACAAGGTGAGAGGCTGCAACCAGGATTTACATAAGTCATCTCTAAACCGGCATCTCAGTCCAGAAAGTAAATAGTGATCCTTGATGATGCCTGAACAAAAATGGTTCCATCCTTCTAGATATAAAAGCAAGTGGACGCATTGTTAGTACACCAGCATTGCAGATCAGACACAGCATGTATTTATGGACATAATGGAAGATATCTAATATGGTATCTATCCAAAAGTTCAACTTTCTGCCAAAGTCATGTGACTTCTGTTTGACAATGGTGAGCAAGCTGTTGGAAGCATCTAAAGGCATCCAGATGACCAATCCTTCAGTCTGCAACAATACAAACACTCCTTCATATTATACTGCATACAATGTACAAGCCCCAGGCCTCTAACTGGCTATTGCTGCTTTAAGTTTAGAGGCTGTGAGGCTGTGGTGGGCAACCTCAGCACTACAGCTGTTGTGTAACTACAAGTCCCATGATGCACCGCAAGACTGACAGCCACAGGTAGGACTCCCAGAGACATGATGTGATTTGTAATTTCACCAAGGTTCCCCACCCCTGCTCTAAGGGATAGAGTGTTCAGCAGGCAGGAAACCTACGACGGTTTACTTACAAGCAAGAAAGATGGAGTCTTCTGGTAGGACAGGGACTCTTTACTGACATAACCCTCCAAAATTCTGACCTTACCAATGGGGCCGCAAGAGAGCATGACCCTTTGACCCCATGCCTCCACGGTACACATTTCATATACATTTGAACCAAATAATAAAAAAAAAAACAATCCTTACCGGACACCCATCTTGCAGTCCATGACACAGGGACTCTCAAACTCCGACAGCAGGTCCTGCATCTGGTTGTATTTCTCACCGTCTTTAAGCACGTCTCCATGATACGCAGGGACGTGCGGCTTCAGAATGTCATTCATGAGCAGGCTGAGGCACCGCTGCTCGCAGTCGCAATGCTTCTTTAGGATCTTGCCATTAGCCGCGGCCTTAAAACTACCTGCAAAGACAAGCAAGTAACATGCTTTGCTGGAATCATGTTTGGAATTGGCAGTTTGTTTTTTGACAACGGGTCTGTTATATGTGCACATTGAAGGTGGCCCAGATGGGGATGGCGGGTCTAACATTATGTATATTATGCTCAGTCCCAGCCAGTTTCCACAAAGCTGCTACATTTTTGTCAACATCAAAGCCTTTCTAAACTTCACCATCTGCTACATATAAGGTTTATTGTTCCTAGGCTTAAATTGGAGTTCCAGGAATGACCTTCTATGGAAACTTACATTTCTAGCTTGGTTCAATGTCCATATGTGATCTCTGGATGGCCACTGGGGATGATGACAAGCACTGTGATAGTCTGCACCACAAACAATAATAGTTGTGATCTTCTGGCTTTGACTCCAGCCGCTTTCCCTCTGATGTTCTTTGATTGGACGAGGTGGAGAACATGACGCTATCCGCCCCTCCTCTCCACCTCATCCAATCAGAGAACGCCTTCATCTAACAGTTTTCTGAGCGGTACCTGCATGTCCTGCCAGTTGAATCCAGGGATATTTCTTCTTGAATGACATGACAAAGGGCGACCATTGCACCATATTCCTGATCTTCCTCCATGACTTGCTCTGTAAAAGATAACAAAGATAACATAGATGTCAGCTATTGTGTTCTCTGAGACCAATACACAGGATTATTCAGAAAGACAATGGGCAAAGAGAAAAGTTAACAGTTCACCTGAAGTGATTAGTCACAAATTTGACATATTCAAGGGAACCCCAATATCTGCACTGTCTATGCTGCCTATTCCCGCAGGTGAACCCATTTACAACCCCTTCCTTCACAAGGAAACTGACTTAAACATTTTGGATATAGGAGGGAAAAGTTAAAACATCTGTCGTTTTTTGGTGTTGTCCCATTAGAGAGAGAGATTCCTCCACTTCCTGTCCTGGACACTAAAGTATGTGGACATCCTTTAGGTGCACAAAGTCAGCTCCCTAAAGACTTGGTTGATGAGTTTGGTGTGCAAGGACTCAAGCGGCCTGCAGAGTCTTGACCTCAACCCTACTGAACCCCTTTGGGATGAATTGGAACACCAATTGTTAGCCAACATCAGTACCTGACCTCACAAATGCTCTTTTGGATGAATCTTGAACATCTTGTAGAAAACCCTGCTAGAAGAGTGTTATAGTCATATAGGAAGGGGGGGGGGGGGGTTCCATATTAATGACCATGGTTTTGTAATGGGATGTCCAACAAGCTCATATAGGTGTGATGATCGGATATCTAAATGTTTGGCCTGAGAACGGCCTTACTTGTCCATTTTGAAAACATGTTGAATAATAATAATTAGTAATAGTAACTATGTTTAACTGCGACTGTTAATATTATTATTTCCAGAATAAAACCTGAAAGGCCAATGCAGATGCTTTGAAGCTGGATTATTCATGACTCATGATGACCACTATTCTGCATCATTCATAGTGACAATACGGAATGTTTCAAAATGACATCAATGCACTCCGGGATTCTCATGAAGGGATGTTATGATGTGACTGCAGCAGTGAACACAGGGGTGATCCAGGGAAGTGTAGAGGAAGCGTGCTGACACACTGTAAGTGTCCTCACAATGTGGATCTCCTGCCTGCAGGAAGTGACTCCATGTTAAATTATGCACCCCCGGGCCTCTGACGCACAGCCTTACGTCTTGTACATGCTGTGCGCCCCTACCACCACCACCATCCCGTCCCACGGAACACCAAAACATAAGAATTATGGGATACTTAAATGCTGTTTTCAGTGCAATGTCTGTTGCACACAATGTTGACGCAATATGAGCATTGCATGATTAAAAGTAACTTGATGACATTTTATTTGCGTAAAGCATATCTAACCCCAAAAGCCAAAATTTATTATATTGCAGCTTACCGGTCCTTAGATGTGGTAGCTGCATTAGTTTTCACTTTTTAGACTAAGACACATTTTCAGCAAGTACAGAAAACACCTATTGATACTGCCAGAAATGCAGTGCCCTTGTCACTTCCTGGGAGATTAAAAGGAAGCAAAAAGATTCTTGTCTTTATTGTATAAACTACTAATTGAATCAATCCACCATGTAATATGGCTGAACAAAGGCTGATATGTTATAAGTCCTGCCCGGGTGACAACCGTGGCTGCCCCCTTAGACAGGAGAAGTAAGTGTAGATACGAAGGGACAGGAAGTGTGTTATTTGCAGAATCGCCAGGTGAAAATAAAAGTTAAGAAAAACCTAATTAAGAAAAAAAAAGGCGGCCATCACATCTAAGGGTTGGTAAGCTGTGATAAATTAAAATAGTGTTTTTGGTTTTAGATACGTGTGCTATGTAGCACTGTGTTTTATAAACATTTTTTCACACAATATCGGTTTCACCCTTTTTTTTACCTTTTTCCCATTTCAGTGCTGTTGATCTCCACCCGCCCCTTTAGCCACTTCCTGTCTGCTCATCATTGCTCTGGACCGGCTTCCAGAAAGTGACAATGGTGGACCATGTCTGCTCCATGTGTATTTGCACAGCTGCTTGTAGTCTCCATCAGGAGAGCATGTGACAGTGTGACAACTAGGGTTGCCACCTTTTCTTCCATCGAAACCCGAACACTGTAGCGACGCACGGACATTTTTTTGGGAGAATGAGTCGCGACGTATTCATATGTAAATAGCGCCACCCATTCATATGTAAATATCACAGTCGAGACTATTATCAATGGGGGGCCAGTAGCCCCTATCTTAATTTTGGTTGCCCCTGTCTGCCTGACATCTTGTGTCCGGGTTTCAGCTGCTATGAAACCCGGACACAACATTTAAAACCCAAACTGTCCGGGTAAATCCCGGACAGGTGGCAACCCTAGTGACAACACAGCACCACAATTGGGAGACGGCTGTCACCGATACCAAGAAGTGACTGAACAAGAACCATTAGGGCAGGATCAATAGGGATTATTTTACTGAAAGCATGAAGATCGAAAATAACTTGACAACATTACATTTGCATGTAACAACATACAGTATATGCAATTTCAGATCTAAACTATATGGCCAAAGGACGCTCAGTATTTGGTGTCTCCAGTAAATAGAACTGTCAATGCTACACCATGCAAAAATCTCTTAGACAATTGTGTGCTTCCAACTTTGTTGAAATTAATTCACAAATGTGCTTTTCTGTTCTGGGCCCCTGTGCAAGGCATGGATTGATAATGGATTGACATGGATTGATGTGGAGAAACCTGACTGGCCTTCACAGAGCTAAATAATTTGATCAAAGCC